AGAGGTTTTTGACAATATTGTCAAATACCTCACAATATGGGTATTTTTGGAATCAAGATGACGTGCAGGGACGGGAAATCGAAGTCTGACACCATTCTGAAATCCGAAATGGCGGCTTCCGGTTACACGAAAACATAAAAATACCATTAAATACACAACAACAATAGATATTTTTGGAACCGGGGTGACCTGTGAGAACTGGGAATCCATGTATGACGCCATTTCAAAATCCAAGATGGTGACATCCGGTTACAGAAACACTGAAAAATACTGTCAAATACTCCACAATATGGGTTTTTTGGAATCGGGGTGACTTATTAGGACTGAAAACCCATGTCTGACGCCATTTTGAAATTCAATTGGCGACTTCCGGTTACATAAAAACATAAAAATAATGTTAAATAACCTACAATATGGGTATCTTAAGAATCGGGGTGATGTGGTGGTATTTGCCAGTTTTTCTGTAACTGGAAGCCACCATCTTGGATTTCGAAATGGCGTCAGACATAAATTTCCGGTTCTTACACGTCACTCCAATTAAAAAAAAACACATATTGTGGGGTATATGACAGAATTTCCAAGCTTTTCTGTTACCGGAAGTCGCCATCTTGGATTTCAAAATGGCGTCAGACATCGATTTCCGGTCCCTAAACGTCACTCCGATTCCAAAAATACCCATATTGTGGGGTATTTGGCAGAATTTCCAAGTTTTTACGTAACCGGAAGTCGCCATCTTGGATTTCTAAATGACGTCACACATCGATTTCCGGTCCCTACACGTCACTCCGATTCCAACAAGACCCATATTGTGGGGTATTTCACAGTATATTCCAGTTTCCCAAAATCACAAAAAAAAACTCGTTATTTGGAATTTACTTCGTAAAAAGAGGGACGTAAATTGAATACTGCGTCAAAAAAGACTTGGTAAACTAAGGTTTCAGTGTATTACTTTTCTATTATTCTATACAAAATTTAATTTTTCCTAAGAATTACTGGAGTTATTCTCCTTTGAAAGAAACCCTTTGAAAAGATTCGCAGAATTTTCATTGAATTAATTTAATATTTCCTTTTGAATCTCACTCCTTCCCTGCTCACATTGAAAGTTTCCAAATAATTTTTTTGCAATTCACCTCTCAAATTCCTTAGATTTTCGGAGGTGGGAGGAAATGCTACACTAATAGCAACATGAAGCTTTAGTGCGATGATTTATTAGCTAGAGAAAGTCCTGAAGATGATTGATAGTTCCGCTAGAGTGCAGCAGTGTGAAAATTTAACAGAAGTTGTAATTGAGGGAAGGGCCATTAATGCGACAATACTAATCAAACGCACATTCTTTTACCCAGCTCATACATTGATGGATGAGGGGATTCGAGATATGCCCTAAAATCTGCAGACAAAAGAGTAGGCGTTTGACTTGCTCATAAACTATCTGCGAGTGTAGAATAGTTCTAGCGACGTTTCTAGCGACGTTTATCACTACTTAAAGCCCCACGTTGCCGAAAGCATATGCAGGCGATGGTGTGTTCTAATGAAATTCTTCTTTACCCAACTGTTGTTTAGCTTCTCTCGTCATGACCAACGTAGTCATCTCAGAGAGAAGCGCAATATGGTGGTTTACGAAAATCGTAAACTTCACGTACGAAGTAACTACACAATTTTATGGAATGTCCTTAGATTTGTTTGGCAGACTCTCCGGGAATTATTTTCCGAATTCCTTTGAAGATCTCCTGGAGTTATCATCAGATGTAATTGAAATCCCCCTTTTAGCATCCCCATAACCTCCTAAGTTTTCTCCAAAATTTCCAAAGATGTATGCTTCGGATTCTCGTCTCCGCTCAGGATATACTCGGATGACCCATAATAAGGGGGGTGCGACTTCGTTCCGAAAACATTGCGATATTTGAAAGACAATGATAACGGTAGAGCACCTCTTAGTAAACTGCCCAGGTTTGCAGGGCATTATTGAGCTTTATGGGATCTCGACCAACATTAGAAACGCACTGCACAATAACCCTTCAACCGAAGCAGCTGTTATATGCTTCATTAAGGACCATCTGACCTACCACACTGACAAGAACCAACCATAACCCACTGCATCGAACCAGGACCAACCTCTATAACGAACTCTGAATACACTCATTTGCCAACCAAATACACTAAACCAGGAACATCTACTAACTACGACAGCATCTCGATAGCCAACTCTGATAAACAAATACTTTGTTACTAGGGAGGTCCCTTCGGGACTGTTCACTCCTCTTAACTAGAGGGTCTCCTCTGTCTCCCCACCGCCATTTCAAACTATGTCACTAGGGGGGACCCCTCCAGGAGTCCCCTTTATTTGTTAAGAGATTAACCAGCCTATGGCCCGTTTAGTAAGAAAACCTAACCTAACCTCTAGGTTACTCCAGGTAGTAGACACCTGGCTAATACCGTTGGATTGGTCATAGGCTTTCTATTGAATCTTTCGCTTTAAAGGTTCATATCATACATAAGTGTTTATGAGATACTAATTGAATAAGTCTAAAACATCAAACAAGCAACCAGCTCTGGGGTAGTAATTTCTAATTCGATTTTTCTTTTAGAAGGAAAACCCGTGGGAGTTAAAGTTTAAATTTGAAGTCGACTAAGTTGTAAGCCTGGGGTGTGCTAGTTGCTAGGCGTAGAAAATTGCAGGACTGCCTCTCAAAACTTTTGGACTTAAAGTAAAAATTTAATGAAGTTGTCACCACCTCTCTTCTCATAACCTTTGGACTTGTTGTGGGATCCTCTGTAGGAATTCAGAACTATCACTGACATCTCATAATCCTACCCAAAATCATAAGGTTTGTCTTAGAACTCCAACTTATGGATTTGATACCGCTTGAACTATGAAGATGGATTTATCGATTCTGCAACAAACCTTCGATAACTCCCATCGCACCGAATCTGGCCACGATTCCAATTGCCAACCAACCTGGCCATGAGATCTTGTTAGTCCCATTGAGAATTTATCAAGCACAAAATTCATTGCCCTTCCCTGTCTCAGATCCTTCCACCATCTCCCGGAGACACACATCCCACCAGACCGCAAACGACGCCCAACAAAGTTGCAGTAGTAGTTCATATTTACCGGTGGCTTTTTCGGAAAGAACAGCACATCTGCTGCTTGGAAACCAGACCAAAGAGTGCCACAGAGCAATTCTTCCAACTGCACCCACAAAAAATCGTCCTCGACACAGACAATTCGATCCAAATCTCGAGTCTCAACCTAACTCGCATTCCACGTCCTGGGAGAACCCACTCCGATTGTCTGTGAAAGCCCTGATCAGCAAGAAGATGAAGTGCAACAGCAATCACAACCAGGGATGGATGTTTTGAAATGGATTCCTCCTACTTACTCCACTCGACTGGAAGCGAGCATTCCTACGGTATAGGTACTGCTCATCCCAAAACTCAACAGATGGCCTGCTCAATATCTGAGTTCGCATTGCTTTTTTTTTTGCACCCTCTACAACCCCCATAACTGCGAACAATTGATTTCGTTTGTCGATCTCGAAGCCAGAGGCAGGATGTCGAGGATGCGGGAGATGAATGATGCACTTCCCCTCACTCCGATTTCACATAATATATTGTTTTTCTTCATGACTGCCTCAACACCATATCGTTGAGATGGACAAATTTGACGAGAGGATGAGTACAAGGAAAATTCATAGCCGCTTTTCATTATCATTGTCCTTCGGATGCAATCTTCTTTTGTGGATCGAAAGCTGGAAGACTGTTACAGCAGCAGCAGCAGCAGGAGAAGTCTATCTAGTCTATAGAGCATCATCGTCAGTTGGCATCATAGTTGGTGTTTGGGAAAATGGATATTGGATTCTGGAACTCTCACAGGAAAAGTGTCTGGGGTTTGGATTTAATGGCAGTGTTGGAGGTTGGGAAGAATATCTTGTTTGGACTATAAGGATGATTTTGGGTTATTCACGAACTGTTGGCAAAGTGATTCTAAATCAGAATTACAATGATTGGAAATAATTTTGAACTTTGGACACAAAACCAAATCCAAAAGAACTAGAAAAAAATTCAGAGGACGTTGAAGTCAGCCAAAATATTCTACAGATGAAGGTCGATGGACTTCCAAGACTAGCTCGGAAAATCCACAATACACGCTCCAAACACACACAAACTGGATTCGAGTAGTTTCAAAGCAAATATTTTAAAAAAAAAGTGCTGTTCACTACTAAGACCAATTGATTCAAATTCAAATAAACCAAAATTCAACTGTAAAAATCAGTTTCAATCCCGATCATTGCCTTTCAAAAGCCATCGCCATCGCCATCAAAAGCCTCTCGGAAGCTCACATGGCATCAGGCACTGAACTGGAAAATCACCGCCATACTTTTTATTCGCACCGCTCACTCACTGCCATTGTGACCGACCAGTTCTTTGCCGTCCCAATCCCACCGAATTCAATTTCATCAAAAAAAATGGAGCATCCCACACAGCTTTCGCCAGCCTGGCATGGGAGAGAGTAGGAATGTCCGTCCACACTCGGCTCACTTTCAATCCACTCTGATTTATTGATTTGGTTCCAGCTTTCCTTTGGTGTAGAATTTCCGGGATAACATCGGTGTGGCGGATAAATTTTCCATTGATTCCAAATTTATTTATTGATATTTTTATGTTTAATATTTGCACGGTGACCGCACGGCAATGGAATGCCATTTTTTAGAATAGAATTTTTTCGCTGGTTTCAGCCATTTCACCCATTCCGGATCACCTTTCAATTGAGAATGTCCATATTTCTCCCCGTATGAAAACATACAACGCTCCACTTGGCACGGGCACACAATTTTCCGAAAAATTCCGGCACTCAATCTCGCTCGCCTTCACCCCGAAATCGATTCCGTTTTCCAATATAATGAAAAGCTCAGCTCCGGGATTCATTATGCACTTGCCGAACACGATCCAAATAAAAAAATGCATTTCACACAACAGACGGGGTCAGGTAATCAACTCACCAGAAACGATTTCATGATATCGGACGGAAGTTTAAAACAGCAACCGCAAAAAGGCAGCCAAGCACGCACACACTCGGAAGGCGCGGGAAGTGAAAATCGAACGAAACGCGGACGAACCGAAAAACCAAAAATCAAACACGCACCGAACGGTTTCAATTGAGAGATAGCGACTGTCCGTTTGTCGTGAACCCATTTGCTTTTATATCAGGAGGCTAATTTCGCGAGGCGATTGTGTTATCCCACTCACCGTCGCCGCACTCGCACTTTGCAGTGACGCTTACGGGGGTGGTATGATTGAAAGTGGGGACCGTGAGGCTGACGCCGTTGTCACCGGCTTGATATGCATCGGTGGAAGCGCTCTGGGCGGCAGGATTGAGCAATCTAGAAAGAGAATGACACGGGAAACAAGGAAAAACTGAAAAACTGAAAAACTGAACAAGGAAATGCAATCCTTGGAGTGACAAATTGGGACGGAACAGGAAGTTGGACGGGAAAATTGACTTCATGGCTTTGAATTCAAAGGTCTGAGAAAATTCACACATGGCAAGATATGATCCAACCTTCAAAGTTTTATGGCAACAATACTCGATGAACATTTCAAACGGTCATATCTGCATATCTGCCGGCGCCAGTGGTGTAGTGGTAAGCGTGACTGCTTTCTAACACCCCGATGGGTCTGGGTTCAATCCCAGCCGAGGTCGGTGCGATTTTTCTGAGGCATGAAAATCTCTGGTCACGTCTTCCTTCGGAAGGGAAGTAAAGCCGTTGGTCCCGGCCCATGTGTGTTGAATGGGTGCGATATCCTATGCAGGTGTGGAAGCTGCCTTCCTGCACATTCGATTGCCGTCAATGGATGGCAATCGATGTCCGTCGGTGATTGGCACTAGATTGCGGAACAGAGACCGACGTTAAATAAAGGAAAGAAGAAAATATCTGCTTTGATCGATTCTCTTCATCCAAATTATCTTTTGATATCCACTGCTATGACAACAGATTAAGCGCTATTTTACCACCATAGTATGATAAAGGAAGTTCTTACCAAGCATACAAAACGTCAAATATAACAGGTAAAGGCTTTGCAGCTAAGTCATTAACACAAGAGAAAGTCGATGAAGTGAATCGATCAATATCTGCACCGTTTGAAATGTATAATGTCCTTTGAATAATTGAAGGCTGTTTCTATCCATTTATGGATAATACTGATCTTGTATAGCGATGAGTTGGTGTTAACGTCACTATATGCCACTGTATGCATGCTTGGCATGCTCAGCTCTACATACCAACTGCTAATTTGTTAATAACTTTTCATTCAGTTGTTGAAATTTAGTTTTCTTTAAAGTAATTGATAGGATTAGGATCATAGTCTACTGTAGAAATGCAAAGAGCAGGTAAATCTTATCATTTTAATCAACATCCGTTTGCGGGAATTTGTCAATTTTTCAAAAAACTGATGCTTTCTGTTGGTTCTACTGGATCAACGATCGACCACCGCAAATTTCCGGAAAAATCAACTGACAACGAAACACGACGATTGACTAACGGAGCAAGCCATGATGGACTAAGGACCCCGCGACGCATGTTAGATAGCACTTTGGAGGCCTCTTCTCAGCCCGACACAGTCCCGTCTCTTGCTGCCAGCGATCATCTTAGTCGTTAGTTTTGTATTTAGTTGTAGAACAAGTGTCATTGGGGTAAACATTTTACCTGTTGACTGATAAACAATAAGTAAATAAACACCAATGAATTTTTACACTTAAAATCCGAGATGTGCAGTGAGCATGTCTCACTTCATTTTTGCAACGCAAAATCAAATACAGTTTATTACTAGAATTAAAATCTCATTTGTTTTACATTTTTAAAACAAGCTTAAACTCTATTCTATCGACTGCTTCAAACAGACCTATGTTTCGTCAACTCTGTGCAATGTTATTAGCAAATGAGCAGCTTGTGAGCAAAACTGTGTATGCCAGGCTTAAGCAGCTTAGTTGAAGGTGGTCTATAGAACTCTTAGCAGCCTCATTTTTAAGTCGTTATAAGAGCTTGAAAGTTCCGGTACCATAATTGAAGAGCATTCTAAGCAGCTTCTGGTGGAACCTAAACGGAACTTTTAGAAAATAAATTAAAAAAAGGTTTTTGTCCTCCATACATACATACATACAATTATTTGTACAACATCACATTTAAGATAAGACATAATCAACAATAGTACGCCACAATCAGTCCGCATCGTGCTCTCTTGCCGTGCGGATCTATTTGCTTTTTGCTTAAGGAAGTGTTACTACTACCTAAAGCTACAACAAATTTAAACAGCACTTTTCAGTGCTCAACCTGTAAAAATTTTCTACCTTGTTCAACTTCTCTTATTCCTCTTCGATCCTTGTTTGGACCCTACCCGAGGTAATCCTTCTTGGATATCGATTTGGAAAATTCCTCTTCGATCCTTCAGATTCTTATAGTAATCTGCTTGGAAGTCGATTTGGATAAAAATTTACTGCCGCCATGGCGCCTAAACGAAAAAGAAAGGGGCAAACTCTTGACCCCCCTTCTGATGAAATTAATTTGAGTAATCAATTTGATTTGCTCACGGATGATGAGAATGATCCATCATCCAAGAAAAATTCTAGTAAACTTTCCCGGCTTAATGCCAAGAAGGAAAAGATTCCCCCTATTGTGATAACCACTACCGATTTCCATGCTCTTCGTATGGAACTTTTGAATTTCGTGAAAGTTAAGTTTTCACTACAAATTGGACGTCGGGGTGAATGCCGTGTATTGGCTGAAACCTTGGACGGATTTAAATGTCTTCTCAAGTATCTTACTGAGAAGAAGCACAAATTTTTTACTTACGACACCAAAACTGAACGTGTGTTCAAGGTTGTCATGAAAGGACTGCCCAGTGGTGAATCCCTGGATCAGATCAAAGATGAACTGGCAAAATTACTTGGAGTTGTGCCACTCCAAGTAATCAAAATGAAAATGAAATCCCGTCCTGGCGATTCGCGCAACGGGATTTCTAATGATTTTTATTTAGTTCACTTCAAGTCTAGTGAACTAAACAACCTTAAGGCCTTAGAAAAAGCTAGCCTTATGCTCCATGTCCGAGTGAAGTGGGAACACTTCAGGAAGACTGGAGGAAATTTCCAAAACCTCACTCAGTGCCGTAAGTGCCAGGGATGGGGTCACGGAACTAAAAATTGCTACATGCCAGCTAAATGCATGAATTGTGGTGATTCCTCTCACGCAAAGGACGACTGTCCTGTGAAGGAAGATCCTAAGAAATTTAAATGTTCAAATTGTGGTGAAAACCACAAATCCAATTTTTGGGAATGTAAGACTCGCAAAGCGATCCTACAATCTCGTTCTAACCGACAGGTAGGAAACGCTCCACGTTTCCGACCAGGTACAAATTCCTCTGCTGTTAACAACGGTCAGCGGGGAACAAATTCTACATTCGTACCCGTAGGTACAAATATCACCCCTGCTTCAAATGTTTCATCTGTACCTACTCCCCTCGCTGCTAACAATGTTCAACGAGTTAATGGAGCTACCTATGCTGCTATTGCAGCGGGTAGAAATCAAAATACTAACCAACGTTCTAACGGAAATTTTGACAATTTTGACTTAGGAAGCATTTCTGCTCCTAAAATGGAATTTTTACAGAAATCATTAATTGACATGATTTCTGATATGCTTAAATCTAACTCCATGTTTGATGCTATTCAAACTGGAGTAAAATTTGCTAATAATATTGTCATGACTTTAAAATTCAGTAATGGATTTTAAAGCATTAAACATTTTAAATTGGAATGCTCGATCTCTTAAAGATAATGAAGACGAGCTATTTAATTTTTTGAGAGTTCATAACGTGCATATTGCCGTTATAACTGAAACGTTCCTTAAACCTGACCATAAGGTTAAGAAGGACGCAAATTACTTGATTTATAGAAATGATCGTCTTGATGGACCCTGTGGTGGCGTTGCCATCATTATTCATAGACGAATCAAACACAAAATACTTTCTTCATTTGAAACCAAAGTTTTTGAAACTTTGGGAGTTTCTGTTGAAACAAAATTTGGACAACTTACGTTTATAGCTGCCTATTTGCCATTCCAATGCGTAGGCCAGCAAAAGAATTTTCTCAAGGGTGACCTTCAGAAACTTACCCGTCATAGGTCTAAATTCTTCATTATTGGTGATTTTAATGCCAAACACCGCTCATGGAATAATGCTCAAAGCAATTCCAATGGTAATATTCTGTTTGATGATTGTTCTGCAGGTTATTACACTATTCAATATCCAAACAGTCCAACATGCTTTTCTTCTGCAAGAAATCCCTCAACTATTGATTTGGTCGTAACTGATTCATGTCAACTTTGTAGCCAATTGGTTACCCATGCTGACTTCGGTTCTGATCACCTTCCAGTAACTTTTGAAATATCCCAAGAAATAATTTGTAATCCCAACAGCTCTATTTTCAATTACCATAGAGCTGATTGGGAGCAATATCGAACATTTATGGAATATAACTTCGATCCAAACATTCCTTTGCAAACCAAAGATGATATTAATTATGCTCTTGAATCTCTGACTACTTCTATAGTTGAAGCAAGAGCTGCCTCAGTACCAAAATGCGAGGTTAAATTCGATTCAATTATAATAGACGATGATCTTCAGCTCTTGATCCGTCTTAAAAATGTCCGTAGGAGACAATATCAAAGAACACGCGATCCTGCCATGAAGGTTATCTGGCGGGATTTGCAAAAACAAATTAAAAAGCGATTCTCTGCCCCGAGGAACAAAACTTTTGAAAATAATGTTTCTAAATTAGACCCGAGTTCCAAACCCTTTTGGAAACTCACAAAATTTTTGAAAAAACCTCAAAAGCCAATTCCAGCGCTTAAAGAAGGTGGTAAAATTTTGATCACAAATTTGGAAAAAGCTCAGAAACTTGCTAAGCAATTCGAGAGTTCCCATAATTTCAGTTTGGGTCTTACTAGTCCTATTGAGAATCAGGTTGCTGGGGATTTTCTGAATATTTTCTCTCGGGAAAATATTTTTGATGATTCCTGGGG